TACAGTAAAAACAGTAATATTGTGAAATATTATTACAATTTAAAATAACTGTTTTCTATTTGAATATATCTATAAAATGTCATTTATTTCTGTGATGGCAAAGCTGAATTTTAGAGTAAATCATTGCTCCAGTCTTCGGTGTCACATGATCCTTTAGAAATCATTGTAATATGCTGATTTTGTGCAAAAATATCTTATTATTATCAATGTTTAAACCAGTTGTGCTACTTAGTACTTTTGTGAAAACTGCGATACATTTAAGATACTTTCAATAGAAAGTTCAAAAGAACGGCATTTATTAGCATTATAAATGTCTTTACTGTCACTTCAGATCAATTCAATGTATCTATGCTGAAAAAAATATTTAAAAAAAAATGAAAAATTCTTGCCGACTCTAAACTTTGAAATGGTAGTGCGTGTTACACAGAAAAGTATCTCATGTAGCAAATCGTTTGGCTGACTTCTTCCAGTCACTGAAATTTTAAAGTGCCAGATTATTCATTTTAATACATAATAGATGAAAAACCTGACACTGATGGATCCAGTGAGTGGTGTGGAGAAATCCTTTCCTGATGTATGAATATCAGATTTGGACGTCGGCATAAAGAATGACTCTGAATGCCCTCGGCTGGCAGGCATTGCTGTACCACGCAGACCCAGCATTCATGTGCCCACATGCCTTCATACTGACACTGGGGCAGTTTGTTGCCATGAGCTTCCACTTTGTTCTAGTCTTGTGTTTTAAATGCAATCTTATATATCCCACTAGCAAAAATGAGTAAGATTCCACTGGTCATATTATCGCAACCTGTCTGTCCCCATGTACAAAAAAATAGGTAATCTAACCATCAATTCTGTCTGTATTCAAATGTGTGTGTGACCTGTTAGCTATGTCAGACATTCTGTCACACACATACACACACATTACCTCTCGCCCCTGCCTCTCTCTCTCACATACACTCTCCTATGAGAAGATTAAAGTAAGTCTACAGCCCCCTCAGGGCCGAGGTTATTCCATAAATAGGACAGGCTCTAGCAGATAAAGCAACATAGATTCACGGTGGCTTATTGACTAAAGCAAACTAACTCCGTGTATACATTGCTGCCATCTGTGGTTAAGTCAGGGTACTACAGCATATTACTGCAGTTAAAGGGATAGTTCACCCAAAAATGAAAATGTTTATCTGCTTACCCCCAGCGCATCCAAGATGTAGGTGACTTTGTTTCTTCAGTAGAACACAAACAAAGATTTTTAACTCAAACCGTTGCGTGAATCAGAGGTAAAAAACTATATAAATACTGTTCAGTTTCTTGCACAGACCGATCGTTTCGTGTCTTTACACATCAGTGTATCGTCACGAGCCGCAGGGTTTAATTTGGTTTTGTTTGTGTATGTTTTTTTGACTCTCAAAGCCGTGATTCCCATTCACTTCCATTATAAGACTGATAGACTGCAACGGTTTGAGTTAAAAATCATCATATGTGTTCTACTGAAGAAACAAAGTCACCTACATCTTGGATGCCCTGGGGGTAAGCAGATAAACATCAAATTTTCATTTTTGGGTGAACTATACCTTTAAGTAGATTCAATGTGGCAATTGTGTATATGCTTTTGTTCAAACGTTTGGTCCAAACTCAGTATAAGATTTTTTTTTCATTCTTTTTATATTCTTTTGAAAAAAAGTCACCAAGACCGCATTATTTGATCAAAAATACTGCAAAAACTGTAATATTGTGAAATTTTATTACAATTGAAAATAACTATCCATTTTAATGTTAAAATGTAATTTATTCCTGTGATGCAAATCTGAATTTTGAGCAGAAATGGCAGTCTTCAGTGTTACATGATCCTTCAGAAATCATTTTAATATGTTGATTTGGTGCTCAAGACGCATTTCTTATTGTATTAATGTTATACATTTTTTCAGGATTCTTTTATGAATAAAAAGGTGTAAAAGAACAGCATTTATTAGAAATATAAATCTTTTGTCTTAAAAAAAGTCTTTACTTTTTATCTACTTAATGCATTGTTGCTGAAAAAACATTAATTTCTTTAAAAAATCTTGAAAAAATTCTTTCTGACCCCCAAATTTTGAACTGTAGTGACTATATATATATTTTAAATATAATATAGCCAATTGTGTGTGTGTAGCATTACTCAGGTTTTTTTTCTGTCTTTAATGTGTCTCTTTTCATCTTAAGGGAGTTCTAGACCGATTTTCTCAGATCCAGCCCAAGTTGATATTCTCAGTAGCAGCTGTTGTGTATAACAGCAAGCAGCACGACCATATGGAGAAACTCCAAAACGTTGTTAAAGGTTTAAAGCACACATTTCAGCCCACAATTTTCCCATCATTTTGTCTTGTTGATATGCATACATTTCATGGATCCTAATATATATTTCCCCCCATCATCTCTCAGGTCTACCTGACCTGAAGAAGGTTGTGGTCATTCCATACGTTCGCTCTCGACAAGACACTGACCTCTCCAAGATTCCCAACAGGTCTGTGCATGATGTGTGTTTACAATCATATTTCAATATATCACATTTCGTTTTATTATATATTGCACTGGTTCTTCCATTTGTATGTAGAAGTTCAATTTACTTGACAAAGTAGCTATATTCATTTGTAACACTCCAACTTGGGTCATGCAATAATTAGGAGTTTTGTGTGTAGTGTACTTGTCTTAATACATACAGTGGGTACGGAAAGTATTCAGACCCTTCGAATTAATATCGCAGTTTTATGAATTAACTCACGGAGGAACTAATCGTTGAGCAATTGATCATTTTCAAAACATTAATTTGTCTATTAGAAATCGGCGACGACAGACAGTTGTTGACTTTTTAAGGCTTTGTAGTGTATGAGCGACATAAGGGGTTTATTAGGTCTATACTGGGTTGATAATGAAAATTAAATATTAAATTCATTTTTTAATTAGATTTGTGATACAGTTCATACTTCCCCGAATGAAGAATATATATATATATATATATATATATATATATGAAGAATAAATGACCAACCTTTCCTATATACGTACATACACTATCATTCAAAGGTTTGGGGTCAATACAATTTTTATTTTATGTTTTAAAAGAAATTAATACTTTTATTTAACATGGATGCCTTAAATTGCTCAAAAGTGACCGTAAGGACATTTATAATGTTACAATAAGTTTCTAATTTAAACAAATTGTTCTTTTGAACTTTGTACTCATTAGAAAACTCATTAGTGTAACAAGAACTGCTACTTAATCAGCAAATCAACATATTAGAATGATTTCTGACTGGAGTAATGGCTTCTATAAGTTCACTTTGCCTTCACAGGAAAACATTTTTAAATATATTAATAGTAAACCGTTATTTTAAATAGTGATAATATTTCACTTTTTCACTTTTACGGTTTTGTATTATTATTTGATCAAATAAATACAGCCTTGGTGAACATAAGAGATTTAAAAAAAAATGTGATTTGATCATATTTTATGAAATTTCTTTACTGTTATGCAACCCGTGATTGTGATAATTGCATTACAGCTGTAAACTACTACTTAGAACACACATTGATTTGTAATCTTCCTTAAACAGATAGTTCATACAAAAATGAAAATTGTCATCATTCGAATTTCTTTCCCTTGCTGAACACAATAGAAGGTATTTTGAAAGAATTTGGTACTTCCATAGATTTTTCAAGTCAGTTGCTATCAGCAACTGTTTGATTACCAACATTCTTCAAAATATCTTCTTTTTGGGAGAACTGTCCCTTTAAGATGGCTGAATGGGGCACTATTTGTTGATTGGAATGTACCTCATATGAATAAATGTTTGTTATCCTTGTTAAACTGACAGAATAGATCAGTTCCAAGCTTGTCTATGAAGTTATTGTTGGGTGTTTTTCCCTCTCTCAGTGACACCTGCTGCTGTATGTTCAAATGAGATCTGAAGTGTTGTCTGGTTAGGATGCAGTCAGTCCTGACTCTCTGTCTCCTGTACTTGTTCTGTCAGCGTGTTCCTGGATGACTTCTTGGCCACGGGTAAAGAAGGGGATCAGGACCCTCAGCTGGAGTTTGAGCAGCTGCCCTTCTCTCATCCTCTCTTCATCATGTACTCTTCTGGCACCACAGGAGCTCCCAAGTGCATGGTGCATTCTGCTGGGGTGAGTGTGTGTGCGCACACACTGAAGACATTGCGCAGAGTCTAATTTAAAATATTGTACTCTGTGCAATTACTTGATATATGCATTTTGGAGCACCTTGTTTCAAACATGATGTATAAAGAAAGAAAATACAGATGCAAGCATTTGTTTTGCAGGTGCACTACAAATATCAACAGCTAAATTATCAGTTTATAATGTAGGAACATATTGATGCATTTTATTTGCTTAAAATTGTCTATGTACCCATAGACAGAGTTTGCGGCAGTGTTTTTATTGTTTACTAAAACTACAAAATATTGTTTTTGTGAATTGAAATAAAGCTGAAATAAAACAAAATGTAAATATTAGATGAAAAATTTAAATTATAAATGTTTCTTTGGAAATCAACTTCAACTTATTTTAAGGCAAGTTTATTTATATAGCATATTTCATACACAATGGTGATTCAAAGTGCTATACATAAAAAGGTTTTTAAAAATAATCATGACCGAAATGACAGACATTAAAAATGATCAAAACAGATGATTAAGAAATAAAATGAACAATAAAAAAATAGATTCTAAAAAAATTAGTTAAAATATAATGAATAAGAATAAGAATAAATAGATGGTGCAGTGCATTTCATTTGAGTTAAAGTACTAAAATTTGCTAAAACGAAAACTGAAATAAAAATAAATTAAAACTAAATATAAAAAACTAATAAAAATGACAACAGCATATCACAGAATTACATGAATTAACTAAAAGTAAGATGAAACCTGAAAATATAAAAATAAAATGTAATTCAAAATATTAATATTTTGTAAATATAAATTTACATTTACATTTAGTCATTTAGCAGATGCTTTTATCCAAAGCGACTTACAAATGAGGACAATGGAAGCAATCAAAATCAACAAAAGAGCAATGATATACAAGTGCTATAACAAGTCTCGGTTAGCTTAACAGCTCGCGCAGTACACGTAGCAAGTTTTTTTTATTATATAATAAATAAAAAGAAAACAGATAGAATAGAAAAAGAATAGAGCAAGCTAGTGTTAGAGGCCTTTTTTGCTTTTGTTAATTGTATAATAAAAAAAAAAAACAACAAATAGAATACAAAAAGATTAGATTTTTTTTTTAAACAAGCAGTAAATGAATAGAGTGCAAGTCTAAAAGGGACAAGTTTTTTTTTTTTTTTTAAAGAATAGAATTAGAATAGAGAGTGCTAGAGTTAGAGGGTCAAATAAAGATGGAAGAGATGTGTTTCTGGATTAATTGTAAAGGTTTGATAGAACGGGTAAATAATACTAAAATAACACTGATTTGGGGGTGGCACCAAATTTTAGATTAATTTTTTATATCGTTGTGGCTAGAATGTTGTAGTTACAGCTGAACTAATATTTCAGTCTACTAAGTTTACCCTTCCACTTGGTCTGTGTCTTGAACTGCTGTGTGATGTTTGTATGCCAAAAGTGTGTAAAAGCACCTCTTTCCTGTAGATCATCATATACAATATCTCTTGAATAACCAACATTGACCACTAGATGGCAGTAAGAGTCAGTTTTAAAACCTGTTAGGCACTATAAGCTGGTTGCAATTGGGATGAGCAATTATGTGCACCATTCTAATCCCTTCTGAATTAATAATCGCAACATTAGGGACACAGCAGCTCACATGGGTCTAAATCAGCCTTTCTTTCTCCACACCCACAATTTCAATTCAAAAATCAGCACTGCATAGAAAATTAATCGAAAAAATCAGGGAAGGCAAAAACACTAGTTGATTTATTTTTTAAATTTTTTATTTTTGTGTGCTTTACAATCACACTTTTTGTGTATAACACTGTGTTTTCATTTTTCACAGCTTTTCCCTTCAGCCTTTGCGGCATTTGTGTCTGACGCCTCTCTTGCGTGCTGGATAATTAGAGCGCTGTGTGTATGAAAACACACAATCGCACATGTACACATGCAGATGCATTTCTCTCTTCTCGCTCTATGGATGATCAATGTTCAGTGTGCTCTTATGAAAACAGTACTCGCATCGGGTTATGGCAGTTAGTGAATGAATGAACGCCGCTTGCAATTAATGCTTTCGCAGACGTGTTAGACACTTGTTGCAGGGCATGGTGTTAGAAGAAAAGGACTGTGAGGGTTTTTTAATCCATGCAGTGTCGCTGATCCTTTAGCTCGCTAATTAGGTCGTTCCCTGCCTGCCAGAATACTTCTGAACGTACAACACCAGCACAGGAGAAAGAACTTGAGAAGAACATGAGATCCAGAAAAATAAACACAATCATCCTCGACTAATGCTTTGTGCTATGTCGCCTCTGATATTACAGACTTCTGATTTTACTTTTCTTAGCCATTTTTCCACTCAAGGTGATTTGTAATGGAAGTATGAAGTCAGTTCTGTCATGTCAACTCTCGGAGAGATTGGCATGGTAATGTACATGACAATGTTAATGTATTTGGTCTTGGCGGAATAGATCTGCTACGCTGCTGCTGCTGCTGCGGCAGAGCAAGTACCGAGACTTGCTACTGCCAATACATCCACAACATGCTGCTGTGAGCTTGTAAGAAATATTGCTGCTGCAAATATTACATGCATGAAATAACCCCCATATAGCATACATGAATCACCTCGTAGCAGATCTATACAGGTGGAGCTGGGGAAGGCGGAGGGTTTCTGAAGCAAGCTGCAACTGCTACGGCAAGCACTAGTCATATATTTGAATGTTGAGCAGTGAGCTCATTGGCTACCGATACAGGAGAGAACCAATCAGCTGTGCCATGTGATAATGATGTCATTAGGTCAGATTGAGATAGACCTATCGGGCTGCGCCATCTAGAGTTTCATGCCAGAACTCTGTATTTGTCCTGAAGTTCACACAGATGTCCTAGCAAAGTAACCTCTGGTGTGGTTCATCACATTAACAACAGTCTGACCCTTTTGTTCTCTGTTCCCCAGGGCACTCTCATCCAGCATCTTAAAGAACACATTCTCCATGGCAACATGACCTACAATGATATCATCATATATTACACTACGGTATGTATCTGGCATCTTAGATGGTGGAAAAAAGCCTCTTTCTCCAATCACATGCATTCAAAAGTGACTGAATCTCTGTAAGCAGCATAGAGTATGCAATGCCGTTCAAAAGTATGCTTTTTGAAGTCTCTTGTGCTCGCAAAGGCTGCATTTATTTGATTAAAAATACAGTAAACAGTAATATTGTGAAAAATGTATACGTTTTAAAATAACATTTTCTATTTGATAGATTGTAAAATTAATTTTAAATAAGTTATGTGATGGCAAGACTGAGTTTTTATCAGCCATTACTCCAGTCTGCAGTGTCACATGATCCTTCGGAATCATTTTAATATGCTGATTAGCTGCTCTAGAAACATTTCTTGTTATTGTCAATGTTTATAACTGTTGTGCTGCATAATATTTTTGTCGAAACGGTTATACATTTTTTCAGGATTCCTTGATAAACATCATTTATTTGACATTTTTTTAAGTCTTTACGGTCACTTTTGATCAATTAAATGTATCCTTGCTGATTAAAAGTATTAGTTTCTTCCAAACATTTGAACATTACTGCATGTAGATTGCACACTTCTACAGGCGTTATAGAACTCCTTATGTTAGTTTATGATATGATTGATTAATATTATTTTGCACCACCCCCATAGTCTTTGATATTACATACTAAAAACAAAGTAATTTCAGAGGCAGATAACATTATTACATTTTGATGAAAGATTATGAACAAGCTCTCTTCTTTAGGATGACGTACACTGATGAATCGTTCACAATAACACTTGGGACATTTATTAATAAATCAGGTTAACATCATTTTCCATTATGTCTTTGTTAGGACAATGTATTTTCTTTCCTCTATGTCTATTAATAATGTTAGCAAAATTAAGGTACACATAATTTGCAATATCTGGTTAGTCCTGTGTGATATTCAAAATTATATTTGGGTTGAAATGGTCCATTTTGAGCACTGTTTGTTAAACATTGCTGAGTAGTTGGTGGGTTTGCCCAATCTGGTCAAACTTGGGACAAAAGCGTAGTCTCTGACCCGATCTAAAAGTAGATATCTCTTTATGTGCAGACGGGCTGGATGATGTGGAACTGGCTGGTGTCCTCTCTAGCCGTTGGGGCTTCTGTGGTCCTGTACGATGGCTCCCCTCTTGTTCCCAGTGCTAATGTGCTCTGGGACCTTGTAGACTGTCTGGGGTAAGTAAGTCTGTGTGTGAGAAAGACATTCTATAATGAAGGTGTCACAGTCAGGAGCTTCAGTCGCTCTTTTTTTTTTTTTTTCCTCATGCCCGTGCTGTAATTGGCTGAGGTGTGGCAGTGCTTATCACCAGCATCTGCTGTGCCCTTTGTGTAAATGACACCACATCACCACGGCAACCTGATTTAAAGAGATGGGTCTAATTGGCCACCTCATGTGGCATCGAGTTCCTTTCAGAGTTTACCTGTTATTGATCAGAAATGATCGAAGTGCATCAGACACCGGAGTTCCTTTGGGTCACACTTGATATGTGTGTGTGTGTGTGTGTGTGTGTGTGTGTGTGTGTGTGTGAGAAAGACACTCTATAATGAAGGTGTCACAGTCAGGAGCTTCAGTCACTTTTTTTCCCCCTCATGCCCCTGCTGTAATTGGTTGAGGTGTGGCAGTGCTTATCACCAGCATCTGCTGTGCCCTTTGTGTAAATGACACCACATCACCACGGCAACCTGATTTAAAGAGATGGGTCTAATTGGCCACCTCATGTGGCATCGAGTTCCTTTCAGAGTTTACCTGTTATTGATCAGAAATGATCGAAGTGCATCAGACACCGGAGTTCCTTTGGGTCACACTTGATATGTGTGTGTGTATGTGTGTGCTCATTTTCAGCTCCCTTGGCTACTGGTGAAAGCCTCTATTCTTAACTCTCATTGTCTCTCCTCTTCCCAAGAGAAAGAAAATAGAGACATTTTTGCAGCAGCCTTTGGGAAAGCCAAAAAACACACATTTGTATTACTCACCAGACCCATTTGTGCTTGAATCACTTCAGAGACATTTTAATTTTTGAATGTTTAATTAGGGTTGACTGTCAATTCAAAATAATATATAATGAATTACTTGAAAATTAATATAATTAATTACACTACCATTCAAGTTTGGGGTCAGTAAGATTATTTTAAGAAATTAATACTTTTAATCCACAAGGATGCATTAGTGGCACTAAAGACATTCTATTTTGAATAGATGCTGTTTTCACAAAAATATTAAGCAGCAGAACTATTTTCAACTTTAATAATCAGAAATGTTTTTTGAGCAGAAAATCAGCATATTGGAATGATTTCTGAAGGATCATGTGACACTGAAGACGCAGAAAATTCAGCTTTAGCATTACAGGAATAGTTTACATTTTAAATGTATTAAAATTCAATTCAATTCAAGTTTATTTGTATAGCTCTTTTCACAATACAAATCGTTGCAAAGCAACTTTACAGCAAATTAAGTTTCTACAATATTTAGTGGTAGCTTATCAGTGGTGACTGTCAGTTAATGTACATATGGCAGAAATGTACGGAAAAATCAATTAA